CTTGTTTTGCTAATAGGTGGCTTTGCTGCCAAGTACCAAGTATACCTGCAAAGAAAATGAGCAGCATTTTCTCCAGCATAAGATTTTATGTACAGAGTAAGATGGATCCTCTGTCCTTGGCTGCTTCATGCTGACCTCGTGAATGGATTTACACAATCCTGTCTTTGGCCCTCTCAAAAGATACCTTGTTGATGTCATGAATCTGAGAAGTTTGATGTGTTAAAGATCTGTTGGATCACTTAGTCCTTTTGCTGTGAGTCTGTGCAGAATTACTTCTCATAGAGTATTTTCACTTAAAACTTTTTCATTTATGGTGATTTATTACTGTTTTATTTCTAATGTTTATGCCATGCATTGTTTCTCAAAGGATCAATTTTTCAGGGCACTCACCACAGAGGGTGCTCTGCATTTGTGAGACTGCACTGAACTATGGAGCCAAGAGGGAGGCATTACGAACCACTGGCTGGGGATGAGTTGCTAAAAAGCATCTTTGTAGGAAATGACCTACATTAGGGGTTATAGACATTCCCATTTAAAAAATAAATTTCAAGGGTTCCAGTTTGTCATGGGTTGACCTTGGCTGGCTGCCAGGTGCCCACCAAGCCGCTCTCTCACTACCCTCCTCAGCAGGACAGATGGAGAAAAATACGATAAAAGATACCTCATGGTCAAGTTTAATGGGAAAAAAGCAAAGGCTGTGCATGGAAGCAAAGCAAAAAAAAGAAGATTTATTCTCTACTTCCCATCAGCAGGTGATGTCCAGCCACTTCCTGGGAAGCAGGGCCTCAGTATGTATAGCAGTTGCTTCAGAAGACAAATGCCTTAATAATGAATGCCTCCCCTCCCCCTTAGCTTTTGTTGCTGAGTATGATGTTTTATGATATGGAATATCCTTTTGGTCAGTTTGGATCAGCTGTCCTGGCTGTGTCACCTCCCAGCCCCTCACCCACCTGCAGCCTACTGGCCTTTGGGAGAGGTTGGGGAGACATCCTTGATGCTGTGCATGCACTGCTCAGCAATAGCCAAAACACTGGCATGTTATCAACACTGTTCTAGCTACAAATACAAAGCACAGCACTATATGGGCTGCTATGAGGAAAGTTAACTCTATCCCAGCCAGCCGGGGTACGCAGTAAAAGGATCTGGGGGTGTTGGTAGACAGCTGGCTGAACATGAGCCAGCAGTGTGGCCAGGGGGCCAAGAAGGGCAACAGCAACCTGGCCTGTATCCGGAATAGC